CATAGACAAACCCTATCTTGAAAAAAAAAAAAGAAAAAGGAAAAGAAAAGAAGAGCACTAATCTAAGGAGATCTCTTTCTTCTTTTTGTAAACTATATTTTAAGAGCTTTAAACTTAAAGGAAAATTGGGCATTAAGTGCCAAGTTCCTATATATAACTCATCTCCTTCTCACCCATGGTTTCTCCTAACAGTATTATCTTGCAGTAGCATGGTGCATTTGTTATACAATTCCATAGACAGGTGTTATATAGTCCTGACAAATGGATAGTGTCACATGTGCTCTTTTACAGCTCCATATAAATAAAATCAGGGCCTTAAACACCTCGGCACTCCACCCCCATGACACTTCTCTGCTTTGCCCCTGAAACAGAGTAGTGTATGGGTGTCCATGAGATTCTAAGACCTCCTATCCCTTTCTGCTAAACCCTGGAGATGCTCAAGTCCCTTATAGAAAATAGTCTAGTCTTTGTATGTAACCCACACATGTTCTTGTTTGAACCACATCTCAATGAATTATGCATACTACAACAAAAATACCATGTAGATCATGGGTTGTGGTATTGTTTATACCATAATGACCAGGAAAAGTCAGTCTGTGTTTGGCACAGACTCAGTTTTTAATATTTTCAATTTGTAGTTGGTAGAGTCCATGGGTACAAAGCCTCTGCTTGTGAACAACTCATTGTTGGTTCCTCTCTCTCTCTCTCTCTCTCAAAAAAAAAGTTGTATCATATTTTTATGTATGTGTTTATCTGTGTGTCTGTATGGGCTATGCATATGTGAGTGCTTGAGTGCCTGTGTTTGTGGAGTTCAGAAGAGGGTGTTGGGTCTCCTGGAGCTGGAGTTACAGGTGATTGTGAGTTTCCGGAGAGGGATGCTGGGACCCAAACTCAGGCCCTCTGGAAGAGCAGTGTGTGTTGGTAATGGATGCGCCATCTTTCCATCCCCTACTGGCTTCTCTTTAAACAAGCGGGGATTGCTTGAAATAATCCCCCCCAGGGCTTTCCTATTAATGTGCCTGTATTAGTTGTTCCTCCATGGTTGATTAGTAAGAAGAAGGCTCTTCATGAGTGAATATTCATTGTTTAGAATGATGGCTGGCAATTAACCTTTGAAAATCGATTGATTTATTCAGTCAGCATTTCCAGACAAATAACACCATATTTTACAGTGAAAAAGGATAGTATAAATATCACATCTTCTGACTGGGCTAGCTTCTGGCTGTCTAGAACAAAAACTGTTCTTAAGAAATATTGGCAGAATGACATCTTAAACGCCAAAATTCATCTTAGAAAATTCTAACACAGGCAGTATTTGTCATTTGAAACACACAGCTGTTTCTTTGAGTAGGTGCTAGACACAGAATGAGCTTGTGTTTGGCAGTTATTAATTGATTGCTTAAGTGATTAAAAAAAATCTAAGTGTTTAAGATACTTGCATTTAGCAGGGGACATAGGACCAAAATCATCTTAAAGAGTCAGAGCTTCAAACAGCTATGGGTACTCACTCTCATCAATGAGCTTGTTAGATAGAAGAGTGGATACAATGCTTCCCTTCCCATCCCCCCCCCTTCTTCTTTTATTCCTGTGTAGCTTTGGAGGCTGTCCTGGAACTAGCTCTTGGAGACCAGGCTGGTCTCAAACTCACAGAGATCTGCCTGCCTCTGCCTCCTGAGTGCTGGGATTAAAGCATGCACCACCACCGCCAGGCTCTTGGCTGCATTTTTATAACTTTTTTTGAAATTAGTTCTTGTTTATTTTATGTGTGTGAGTGTTTTGCCTGATTGTGTGTATGTGCATGGGCATTGCATGTACACAGTGCCTGCTGCCTTCAAAATTAAAAAAAAATGGTGTCAGATTCCTTAGAACTAGAACTAATGGATGGTTAGGAGCCTCCCTCCATGTGGGTGCTGGGAATTAAATCAAGTGCTCTTAACCAGTGAGCCATCTCTCCAGCCCCATGCATTTTTATAACTTAAAAGTCAATACATCGTATGAAAGCTCTCCATGTTAGGCATGCATTTTATGCTTACTGTCAAATGAATAAGTGAATTTATGAGAAATAATAACTTCCAATCTATTGAACTCTTCATTGCCACAAAATTAACTGTAAAACAAAACTATCCTAGACCTTGGAACATGGGTTCTTGGAATATGCCTTGTTGTTCACCTCAGTCTGAAATTCAGCAGTATACATGGATTGCTGGCAATGAGTAACAGCTAAAAATACTGTCTTATCCTGGCATGGTGGCTCCCGCCTGATACCATAATATTCACAGTATTGGAGAGTCAGAGATTGGAGGATCATGAACTTGAGGCCAGCCTACACAGCAATACCTTGGTCTCCAAAATCACTAGAGAGAGACAGAGAGACAGAGAGAGGGAGAGAGGGAGGGAGGGAGGGAGGGAGGGAGATAGAGATGGACAGATACAGAGAGAGAGAGAGAGAGAGAGAGAGAGAGAGAGAATATGTGTCAAAGGGCTTTAAAGGATAGAGCCTGAAATTATTAAGAAAATAAATATTAGTCCTAAGAGTTGACAGTTGACCTTCAATATTGAATAAGTTGGATTGTAGTATATTTTGATTTTTCTGGAAGCACAAACCAGTTTCCCAAGATTGTAAGCTTGATGAAGTCCTATGGCTCAGATTCCAAATGAGTGGAGAGAATTATTCTTATGTAAGAACGAGAGCCAAGTAACTTTTGTTTCCTGTTGTGATTAAGAAAGCTGAGTCTTTCACCTTCAGGTAGGCCCCAACCCTCTTCTTAGGAAAACACATTGAGTGTATACAGAGCCTGCTCAAAGTTCTTTCCATAGACGTCTGTCAATAAAAATGGTAGACCAAGACGTTGCTGTCGTTCTTCTGTTACTCCCCTATCACTCTCCGAAATCAGCCATCTTTGGAAAGTCCATCTTTGCAGAAATCTCTAGAACAGACAGAACCAGAACAAAGGGAAAGCTTTCCAACTAAGTAATAAGAACAAGCAATATCTAATACTGAAAGGTAGGCGTAGGCTACACAGATCGAATGGAGGCCATGTTTTAATCCCGTTTGTGGCTGTTGTTGCTCTTTTTCCTTTGGATCCCCACCATAATACGGACATGCACTTGGTCTGTGAGGGCTGGGTGGGCGATTTGAAAGGAAATTCACTCTTGGTCCAATGTATGATCTTCCACAAGGTGGCTCACGTGCTTATTATCATGGGTAGTGTGGTGGTTGTAATAAGATGTCCCCCATAGTCCATGCATTTGAATACTGGGTCCCCAGTTGGTGGCTGTTTGAAGAGCTTAGGAGGTGTGGCCACAGACATACTAGAGGAAGTCTGTGTCACTGAGGGAGAGCATTCAGGTTTGAAGAAACTCTCTTTTGCGTTTGTACTCTGCTTCTGCTCCAGCTGCCAATCACATCTGCTATTTGCTACCGTGCTACCATGCTCCCCTGCCATCGCGGTGATGGATTTTTATGCCGCTGGAACCATGAATTCGAAGTGAACCCTTCCTTCTATAAGTTGCCTTGGTCATGGTGTTTTATCACAGACACAGAAAAGTTACTGATACAGGAAGTTGATATGAAAATGCCTAAATGATGTTTTAAAACTTGCCAGTTTTTCCCTCTGTGTGTGTGTGTGTGTGTGTGTGTGTGTGTGTTACTTATTTCATTTCTGTGACCAAATACCAGATGGCAGAAGGTCATGGCAGCAAAGTCTTGACAGTGTGAGGCAGTTGCTTGTATCTATAGTCAGGAAGCAAAGAGAGGTAAACGATGGAGATCAGTTGACTTTTTCCCCTTTATCAATCCATGACCTCAAACCGTGGGATGGCACCACCCACATCCCGAATGGGCTTTTGCTCCTGGAAATCAGATGTGTGTCTCCATGGAGGTTCTCAATCCTATCAAGTTGACAAACAGGATTAGCCATCACAGGGCATGAGGGGTTATACCTGTGAGGGGTTGAGAATGCTCACTCAGCATTTTAGGATAGTCTAGGACAGTGCCTTGGGAAGACATCTAAGAATCAGGGTTAGAACACAGTGGTTAAAAACAGGACCTTCGGAGACAAACGGACTGACTTCCAATGCATGTATCCTCTACACAGTAGCCATGAACTGTTAACAAGTGATCAGTGTCTCTGAATCTCACAACTTTGCCAGAAAAACAGCAGGGTTCCCAGGGTTGTAAGCCACCTTTGCATGTTTGCTTCCAAAGAGCTAATAGACCTTCTAGAGCCATGTTTAATCCTTCCTCAAATACTCAGGGCTGCTAGAGACTCTATCCTCTCATATAGTGCATGACCAGCTCTCACTAGCTCATACTCTGCAAAGACCACACCTTTCTCTTGACAATTGAATTTGTCCATTTTATATAGAATTTGTCACCTTTATAATACAGAATGTCTGAACTATACATCAGTACATTTAGGTTCACTGTGGGTGATGTGAGGGGTCCCTTGGATTAATCAGAAATATATTTTCCTGTCCTCTTATATTCCAGAGAGTTATGCAGAGACTAACATTTCAAAGCTGGTTGACTTGGTCCATTGTAGTCCAAGGTAGTAGGAAAATAGCAGAAGAGTGACTGCAATGTATATGTAAACAGTTTGATCATGTGATGTCCATATTGGAGAACTTGTAGACATTCTGTGAGAAGTTCTAAGGTGACTGGTGTTCCAATACACTGAATATTAGGAGCTGCTAGAGCCGATTAGGGCAGTGTTTCCAGAACATGGAAAAGTAGGTAATGGAATATGAAGAATACTATGTAAAAAAAAAGGAAAATATGAAATATGTGCAATCCCATTCATCCTATGTAAAGAAATTGCTGCTTACAGAAAGTATCACAGACTTGAAAGTTTATGTGGTTGTCTCATATGAGGATGGTCTCTAGTGAGTGACAGAGACCAAGGTCCTATAGTAACTATTCAGGTCTCTTTGTCAGGGGAACTTCACTGGATATCTTTTCAGGTAACAGTCTAAAATTACTGTATTGTGTTTCTTCCTAGTGATGAGAATGCCAGGAAAGATTTGAAGACACTGCCAGTCTTTCCAACCAAAACCCTTCAGGAACATCCATCACTCGCTTACTGGTGAGCCAGGAGGCCCCAAGTTGTGGTCATGATCTCCATTGAGCACTGGGCAGGATATTAAAGAGAATCACTACTTTTTCTTTCAAATTACTTGTATTCCTTGTAAATGTAGTGTTGGTGGTCTCCAAGCAGTGAAGATGGCCTACTTTTGCACAAACAATATAAAGATGATAAAACATTCTATTTTGATAGCTTCAAATATGAAAACAGGTGTCCATTTTCCAAATACACAGGGAAATTAGATACAGAGCCTACATTGCATTCTGACTCTGGAGCCTTCTGAACAAATCACTGTTGAATGAAAGTCTCTTTAAAAAGTAAAAAAGGTGTAGGAGGAAGAGGGCATGATGATTGGTCTCAGAGAGATGCTTACAGCCTCACAGGTTACACCTGGGGTGTGACTGGAAGAGCTACCAGAAATGCAGGGTAGAGTTGGGTCTGAGGAAGGCTGATTCTTCAGCATAGTCTCTCCTCTTACAGGATAAAACCAGAGCCTTTTTTTCTTTTACATCACTGTGTCCAAAAGTGGTGATAAGAAGAATATTTCAGATAGTGTTTCGAATCCAAGCAGGATTTCTTAAAGTACTTTTTTTAAAAAAGAAAGAACAAAAGCGTCTCCTATGGCTCAAACTGCCTGGAACTCTTGTTGTAACTAAGGATGACCTTGAACTTCTGGTTTTTCTGCCTCTACTTCCCAAATGCTAGGATTACAGGCAGGGGTCACTGTGCCTGGTTTATGTGATTCTGGGGATTGAACCCAGGGCTTTGTGCATGCACTGCGAGTTAAGCATTCTACCAATGGAGCTCCATCTCTTCTTTTAATCAAAAACAAAAGGATAAGTCTTATCCTCAAAATTACCTCAATGATGTTCTCTGTAGCACTTAATATTTGTACTTTATATCTAGTATGATGCATCTAGAATATTAGTTCTCTATTTGAGAAATCCATCTTGATTCCTTTTCTAGCAAATGACATTTTAAAGATATGAATATGAATTACATAATTATATTAAAAGTTAAAGATCATGCTGGAAGTAGTCACATGCTAAGCTCAGGAACAAGGGTCCTACAGAAACAGCAGAGGATGCCACTCTTACTCCCAAATAAGTATGTTCCTCTCAGGTTTTCAGTGGCACCCTGAGAATGGAGAAATGGAATAGGGTGTCAGAAAGTCACATGTCACCATGCTTATTTCCCTGTTTTGCAGTGAAGACAGAGTGATTGAACATTATTTGAAAATCAAAGGTCTGACTCGGGGTCAAGCTGTGGTCCAGTAAGTATCTGTTTTCTTCTTGCCTAGACATAGTTTCAAAGAAAACATCGTGGTGATTCCATATGGGCATGTTACCTGTTCCCATGCTTCCCAGTGTGGGGCAGGTAACAGAGAGGGATGATGTTGGCCATCTAGGGAATGGTAACAATGGTGGTGGCAAGGGCACAGGTAAGGTGACTTAGCTTTAAAATTCAGGCACAATGGTGCCAAATCTTCCAACACTTTCAAAGGAAAGATGGAAATTCCATTTGCGATGCTACTTTGGATGGAAATCAGGACACATTTGCTATTTTGGAGTTCTGCTTCTCCTTACTACCAAAAGCAGACCATAGTCATTGCTTAGATAGACAGAGGATGGATAGATAGATAGATAGATAGATAGATAGATAGACAGACAGACAGACAGACAGACAGACAGACAGACAGACAGACAGTCTTCTGTAGACAGGCTGACCCTGAACTCACTAAGTAGCTAAGAGTAACTTTGAATCCTGGCTCCACTTGCCTACTGATTGCTAGGACTGTTAGTGCACCACAACCAGTTTCTGCCATATTCTCTATAGTGGTTATCTTATAAGTGGCTGCGGGGACCCGGTGGGCAGAGAGAAACCAGTTCAAGTGGGACCAAGCTACGCAGAGAAAAGTATTCCAACTACATGCTGTAATTGTGTGTGTGTGTGTGTGTGTGTGTGTGTGTGTGTGTATGTGTGTATGATGTTGTCTGTTTGAAAGAGTAGCTTATATAGTTCAGGCTACCTTTGAACTCACTACATAACTAAGGATGACCTTGAATTTATGATCTTCCTGTCTTCACTTCCTAATGCTACTGATATACAATATCTTATTGAGTTTATGTGGTCATGCCCTGGGCTTCAGGCATGCTAGGCAAGCAGTCTACCAACTGAGCCACACTCCAGGCCAGACTATAGATTTATGATAATGTTCACCCCTTTAAAGTATATATTTCTAAGAAGTGGCATGTTATATCTTTAATTAAGTGAACTTGACTACAATCAATATATCTCCATATGCTGATGGAACTTATCTATCTATCTATCTATCTATCTATCTATCTATCTATCTATCTATCTATTTGAAGACAGGGTTTCTTTGTGTTGTCCGGAACTTGCTTTGTAGACCAGGCTGGCCTCGAACTCACAGAGATCTGACTGCCTCTGCCTTCCAAGTGCTGGGATTAAAGGTGTGCTCCACCACCACCTGACTTGCTGGGACTTTGTAATGACATTGTGAAGATCAATTTTTCTAGACATTGTAATTACCAACTCAATAATTTATCATGAGGATGACACTAAGATGAATATTTGAGATGAATATTTATAGTCATCCTTTCTCCCCTCACCCCCAGCCCCAGTTTCTGAGGGTTTTCGGTGCTTTGATACAGGGTCTCATGTCTGGCCTAGAACCTCCTGAGTGCTGAGGCTACAGTCATGAGCCGGCACACCTGGCTTTCAAGTTGACTCTTACTGTTTGTGTAGTAAGTGTTTGCCTTAAAAAAATATTTGCAATGTAGGGCTAGAAAAATGGCTCGACAGTTAGGAGAACTGGCTGAGCTTCCAGAGGTCCTGAATTCAACCCCCATCACCCACGTGTTGGCTCACAATCTTCTATAACTGTGGATTCTAATGACCTCTTCTTGTGTGGAGATGTATGGGAAGAAAAAAAATACCATATGCATACTATGCATAAGTAGGCCAGGTGTGGTGGCCCGTGCCTTTTACCACAGTACTCTGAGTTCCAGGCTAGTCTGGTCTACAGAACAAGGCTTGGGACAACCAGCACTATGCAAAGAAACCCTGTCTCAGAAAAGTAAAAGTGGAAAAGAAAAATGCATAAATAAGTAAATCTTTTTAAAAATTTACAGTTTGGTTTTTTAATGCAATCTATTTGTAAGTTGTAGAAACCTTGGCTGTTTTTGTTTTGTTAGAAAACCCCTGCCATTTAGATAAGGTACAAACAATATTACTCCTTACAATGGTTTATTATTCTATTTCTACTTGTGTCAATGGGTTTAGTCATGATTAAAGGACAGAAGTGGAAGCAAATTGTGTTTCCTGAGATCAATTTCCCCCAAAGAGTCCTTTGACTGTTTTAATTAGCTTATCATAGGTATCCATTTTCTTTAGGTATATGAAAATCGTAGAAGCCCTGCCAACTTATGGAGTCCATTATTATGCAGTGAAGGTAAGTGCTTCTCAAATTCCAGAGGTTTCCACAACGCTCATCAAGCTGTGCAAGTCACTGAACAGCACTGGCTGTCTAAAAAAGCATCTAAATGCATGCATGAACTGTGTTTAGAATTTGCAGTGTTTTTAATTGTTTTGTTTTGTTTTTTTCCGAAATGCTGCTTCTCTGTGTAGCCTTAGCTATCCTGGAACTTGCTTGGTAGACCAGGCTGGCCTCCAACTTACAGAGATTCGTCTGCCTCTGCCTTTCAAGTGTTAGGACTAAAGGCACTACATGTATGCAGTGCCCACAGAAGGCAGAAGACTATATCAGATTCCCTGGAACCTAAGTATCAGATAGTTGTAAGCTACAACATTTGTGCTGGAACTGAACCCTGGTCCTTTGGAAGACAAGCGCTCTTAACTACTGAGTCATCTCTCCAGTCCCAAAATTTCAACATTTTAAGTAGAATTGTTTTCATAAAAGTTTTAAGCCTCATAATATTTTTAGAAGATTATAAAGCACATTATCTTTGCAAAATGCTACACTCAGGTGCTTTCCCAGACATATTCTCTCTTAGTTCGTTAGTTTGTTCATTCTCTCTCTCTCTCTCTCTCTCTCTCTCTCTCCCTCCCTCTCCCCCCCGTGTGCTGACTATTGAACCTAGGACCTATGACATGCTAAATTCATACTGTACCACCAAAGTTCCCCTGCGGTTCTAGGTCATTCTCACACCTCCCTGTGGTGATTTTTGTTTTCTGGTTATTTGCTTCTTGAATGCTCTCAGCTCTTTATTTGCTCACTCCTCCGTGTGAGAGTCATGCCAGTCTTCAATGTTTATGCAACCCTCTATGGGAAATGCTGAAAATTTTGCAAAATTTGCAGTATCACACCCTCACCAGTGTGTTTTGCCCTCTGTTGCTAAGCAGGAAGAAGCTGGCTAAGAAATACTTTGATGATAAAAGATGAAGCATAGATGAAGGGGTTTTGTTTGAGAGAAGCATAATTTTATAACTGATTAGCTTTTCCATGACTTTTGATGTCATGGCAATGTTGACATTTTTACCATTGCAGATGTGAGGAAATCATAATACACACTTTCATATTGAGGACACCTGTGCTATAAATGTATATTAACTTAATCTTAATCCTCAATGATTCTGCTTTGTATATACACACATACCTAAAACTATATTTTTCTTTCCTTCTGTCAATATATTCTTTTCATTGGAAAAGCCCAATAAACAAATTTAGAAACACATTGTATTTACAATAGGATATCATATAAATCCACTCTCATATGTATTATTACAGTGATTATTCATATAGGGACTTGTCCAATTCCCCAAAAGGTATTTATGCTTCTCCCTGTTCATTGTTAATTGTGCTCTAGGCTTTGGGCCTTGGAACCTCTGTCTTTCCTCTGGTAATCCCTGGGGAACTTCCCAGCCTTTATAGCTTGTTGTTAACTAAGAGAACAAGGAGTCTTTTTAAAATCATAACTAACTTCATGCTGGATTAATTCTTTGTTGAATTACTTTTTTAAAATCTCTCCAACAATTTAATCAAAACAATAATGCTTCATTCTTTTGAATGGTAATACCAGTATTGGCTTTTTCATGTGTGTATTATTTGAAGAGACCCTAAGAAAATATTTCAACAAGTTTCTCAGTAAGGTTCTATTTACCAAGGCAGATTTATTTTGGCTTGTTGGCACTTGTTAAGGAAAGAAATTGATAGTGCTTCTCCTCTAGAAGGCTTAACAGATCTTAGATCTCTTGTTTTGTTTTGTTTTCTGCCTTTTAGGATAAGCAGGGACTTCCATGGTGGCTTGGGATCAGCTACAAAGGAATCGGCCAGTATGATTTACAAGACAAGGTGAAGCCACGGAAAGTAAGTGTGAACCATTGCAGACACTTAGAGGAATGCTGAATGTTCTAGAACCTACAATATCACTTTCAGGGTGCCTTGACCATTCTCAGGTAGTAAGCGAAGCTGGGGTACAGAAGCTACTCATGTTAAATGTAGCTTTTAAAAATAACTAATTTATGTACAGTCTACACAGTTCCATAATGGGCCATCTTCATTTGTTTGTTGAGACATTAATTGATCCTTCTGGCCCTACCTCCCAAGTGCTAGGATTACATGCTTTCTGTTCCAAGGCAATAACCTAAACTATGCACTAAGGTTTGGCTACAAAGCTAACCACAACATGGTTCACAGCCCCTACACTTTGGTTTAAATCCAAAGGTTTTGTGGTGATTGTTTCTCAATAAAATAGCTAAAAGCAATCTTTCCACAACTGCAGCTAGTTTTTGCTGATCTTTGTTTTCATTGTCTTCTATAAGAAACATAATTTGTTTTCTGTAAAGAAAAAGAAATGAGCTAAAGGGCCAGAATCTATTAGATTTGGGTCTTCCAAAGCTAAATAAGTTACTATTTATCATCAGATGCCTATAATCCTAGTATTTGAGAGGCAGAAATAAGAGACCTAGACGTTAAGATCATGCTCTACTTTGTTATGAATTGGAGGCCAGCTTGGGCTACATGAAACCCTGTCTCCAAAAGAATCAAAAATAAGAGGAAGAAACCTAGATTGTGAAGCTACTACTCTCACCTCAAGTGCAACATGTACCTCGTCACCACTGATGAATCTGTAGAGATCCCCATGCAGTAGCTGTGACATGAAGGCACACTGCTCTGGGTGAGACTGCTACCCTCCCTGTGCTCTGCTGTTATCCCTGCAGGCTGTAGGAGTGAAACAGTGGCCTCTTAATAACAAACCATGGTCAGCCTACCTGTCTTATCTCAACCCAGCATCGCAGTCTAAAACAACTCCCACATGGCCACCTGCCTGCTACTGTGTTCTTCATAAAGCAACCCTGGAAACAGACCATGCATTGTGTCTTCTGAGACTCCGCTCATACATCAAGGCTTGAAATTGCCTTGAGTTATGAAAATTGAGCACCCTTCTTGACCCCATTCCTTGGCTGGGACATTAACATAGAGAGCATGATGGGTCGTGTTGGGCAGACCATGGCTCCCCTCTCCATGATCATCCAGCCATACTGGGCCAGACTCATTGGGCATCAAGGCTGTTTATTAGAGAAGTACTAGCAAAAGCAATAAAGCAGCATTTATCCACCGTGTCCTTCTGTGCTAGTCATACAACCATCTTGTACTTTCTGTCAGCAACATCCTGGGAGCAACATCCATTGGACAAGGAATACTGTGTTATATTTTCTGTTTTGTAATTCTAGAGATCAAATTAGGGGCCTTGTAAAAATCAGGCAATCACTACACTACCCCCCCTTGCCACTTTTGAAAGCTATCTATCGTTCCATTGTGTGACTATACATAATCTTTTTAACAGATTCTCTCTCATGATCCTCCTGTCCACCCTCCACCCAATTCTGGGATTACAGGTGTGAGCCACCACACCTAACTAACTACCCATTCTCTTTTCATGGACATTACACTTTCCTTTGTGGGCGGGCAGAGAGGTCAAGGTACAGAGCATAATAGAGAGTCCCAGCCAAGTCACTGCCTGTCATGTTTTCTTAAGGCATAGCTCACCCATATTACTAAGGTTTTGCTCATTAGTCCATCCTGATTTTTACCTTTTTAGTAAAGAACACACAGGACTTTTTGCTGGGTTTTCCTAAACTTATGTGCAAAATAGAACTTAAACCAATGCACAGGTCCACTTACAATCAACTAGCATGTTTCTTTAAAACATAAAATAAAAACAAGCAACCTCAGCATTCATCCCTTGCAGCCCCTCCTGCTCTCGGAGTTCTTTCTCCCTTTTCCTTAATAAATCTGTCTTCCCACTGCATAAAGAAACAAAAGCAAGCAATCAGATTTTCTCCCCAAGTAATGGTGAGTCGGATCTGCACAGCACACGCTGAGCTTGATTCCTTCTCTGGGGCTGTGACTCACCGGTCTTTCTCACATTCACAGAATCATAAAGATTAGAACATTCTGCTTCACACCGATCACAATCAGGCCTGCCTGTTCATCCCAGAGTCTAGACAAGGGTCAGCAGCCACTTCCTTTTTTCAATTCGCAGTTTTGCTCTTTCGTTTTCAAGCTCTGTCACTCACTTCTGACGGGACGTTAGAGCTCTCCTTGGGCTTCCTTGCCCTCCCCTTCTCCATCACTTCAGGTGTCCACGCTGCGCGGTGGCTTATCCCCAGCTTTCTTCTGTTAGAAATCTGATGGTGGATCCTGCTTCTGTGAACTTACTGATTTCTGTAGCCTACTGATTTGAGCTGGGGGCAGCAGTGTGCTCGGCAAGGCTCCATCCTGGCCAGGTTGCCCACGTTAAAAGAATACGTAATTTGGGGGCTGGAGAGATGGCTCATCGGTTAAGAGCACTGACTGCTCTTCTAGAGGTCCTGAGTTCAATTCCCAGCAACCACATGGTGGCTCACAACCATCCGTAATGAGATCTGGTGCCCTCTCCTGGCATGCAGACATATGTAGAGGCAGGATGTTGTATTCCTAACAAATAAATAAAATCTTTAAAAAAAAAAAAAAAAAACAATTTAAAAAAAAAAAAAAAAAAAAAAAAAAAAAGAATACGTAATTTAAAGGGTTGTGAGCACCGACACAAAAGAAGACTCAAGCTTCAGCATCTGAGCATGCAGCAAGTTCTCCAATGGCCAGGAAAGAATCTAGGTCATGCTGACAAATTAATGGAACACAGGCTGTCAGGCCAGCCTCAGGATGCTGGGCCTCCCGAGCCATGTGCCTACCTTGTTGGTGTAAAAGCAAACCAGGAGGGAGATGTACCAAGACTGATGCCAAAAGGCTGGTTTTAAAGGGGTTGTTTAAGGTCCGCTGGCAAAGGCCTGCCAGCCTGTCTAGATAATGTCTGTTAATTATTGCCTCTAAACGTTGAGTACTGTGTTTGTTTACTACCACTAGCAAGTGCTTCATTTATTTTAGCTTTAACTTTTTTGCCAGTCTGGGGCTGAGGGGCAACAAGCAACTTCCATCAGTGAAGCTCCATGATGTAGGTCAAGAGATGGGGAGACATCATGGAGCCTGGCCTCGGTGTCGCTTCTCTGTGTGATCTTGGGCCTATGTATGAATTTGTGCGTGTTTGTGTATATGTCTGTGTGCATCTTGCCACGATGAGGACCTAAGAAAGCTAAGCTAAGCAAGCACTCTACCACTGAACTATGGCCAAGCCTTACTTGCTGTGTGATCTTGGGCATGGTTTTCATCTCTCTTTAGAATTATCTTCCTTATCTGCATGGGGAGGGTGTGAGAACTAAATGACATTATATGCTTCCCCATACCTGATAAACAGACATCACTAGGTAACTGTTAACCATTCCGTGGAGTGAGGGAGATAGTCAATTAAAGATAACAATTGGGAAGTATTTTGGCGTTACTGACAGAGAAGAACCCAGCATTGCTGCAAAGCAGCTCTGGTATAGTAGGAGTCCCTAGATTTAGGTCCTTGTAAGCCCTTTTCTCCTTGGTTCGTTACCCAGAATGCATGAAGACGTGCTATATATGAAGAGAAAAATACTGAATTAATGACTTTACCACAGGGTCTCCTGCATCCCAGACTGGCCTTGAACTTGCTGTGTAGGCAAGAAATCTTGAATTTTTGATCCTATTGTCTCCAACTTCCCAATGCTGGGAGTACAAGTGTATACCATCACATGAGGCTTATGTGGTACTGGGGTTCAAACCCAGAGCTTCAGTGCATACTAGGCAAGCATCCTACCAACTGAGCTGCACCCCCAGCTTCTCTCTTTAGCAATAAAGCTAGTTTAGCATTTCCAGGGGCAAACATGTCTTTCAAAGGGTGAGTAAGGCATTAGTATGTGTGTCATGACTGAACTCTGACCCTACACAAGGACTTCACCTGGGAAAACAGGGCCTGTAGGAGAGTAGAGATGGAAGACTGACGTAGTGATGCTAGTGGAGGCATCATCTAGACCATCCTGACGAAGGGCCTTTCAAGATCAGCATCTTTTTACACTGTAGCATGATAAAAGAGCCTTCTGTTCCCTTGACATAGCAGCCCTAGGCTCCTTCCTCTACTTGAAGGCAGCACCTTGATTGTGTCTCTCATCACAGGCATCTTGACCGTCACAACTCCTTGCTCTTTCCACCAGCAGCTTGTCACATGGGCCACACAGAAGGTCCTTCTGACCCAGAGCAAGTTAACGCTAGGAGAGCAGGAGAGCATGTTCTGTCCAACCCCACCTTCTACACCGGTACAACATGCTGTCTGGTGTGAAGAGGAACACTGATTACAAAATGTGGTCAGGAGACCAGTCCATCCTGTTTGGAGAGTGTGTAATTACGCTCCAGCCACACCAATAATCAATCTGATTGTTAAAACCTGCAGAGCCAGTGGGAGGAGGCCGCCAACCCTATAACATGGGCTTGAAACAAGAGCCAGTTCTGCATTCCCACTGACCAGCTGGCTGACTTGGAACTGCCACTTAACCTCTCGGTGCCCTCATTTTCTCATCTATCAAGTTCAAAAGATTCTGTCTACACTCTCACAGTGCTGTAGGCACCCTGTGGGCTAAAGGAATTTGTTCGGAGTGAATGTATCCCCCTCCACACCATACTTTACTGTGTAGTATGACATCTCTCTTCACCTCTACGCTTAAGCACAGTTAGGGTCTATAATTCTGTGATGAGAACTTTCCAAGACTCCTCTGAGTATTGTCAAAGAAGGTGAAAGGCATTCTGGAGCCAGCCCTTTGTCCTTCAGGAAGTCCCCATCTCATCTTGATGCTGGCAGGCCACAGCCAAAGCTATAACTCAAGTTGTTTTGTGACCAAAAAGAAATGTCAAAACACACTCTGGAGGAGGTAAGCTGTGGCTGCTAGCCTATTTGTATCTCCAAAACTAGT